CACAGGTCCTAGATCTCTACTTGTAAGGCAGCCTTGAGTAATGCACTTAACCTCTTTGATTGTCGATTTTTTCATCTACACACTGGTGATAAAATACCCGCTTTTCAGGATGGTCAAGACAACATGGAAGGATTTATGTAAATTTATACATGATAGCTGACACATGAAAGCATTTAGGTTCGTTCATATAATTCCAATGATGAAGAAATGATTTGGGCACAGGTTTGGGATTTAAATGAAAGTACTTTAAAAATCTTTGCAAAGGATAAATTTCTGTGATAATGATATATGATATGGCTCTCTGGCATTAAAAAAAAAAGATGAAGAAGAAAAAAATAAAAACCTCTCACAGTTCATCACAATAATATTTGCCACATTAGCACAGGCTTCACAATTCAGCTTCCCCCGTGGAGTTTGGTGAGATTTTCAGCTGCACTCCCCTCCCTAGTCCTATTTTATATTTTTATTTTGCTGTTGTCTTTTTAAAAAAGGAAAGTCTCATTGTGTTGATTATCCACTATTACTTCCAAATAAGAACATGCTTTCATTTACTGAAATTAGATCCCCATTCACTGCCTTGGCACACTCAGGACTGTCTTCTCCAGAGGGTTGGGGGCCTGTTAGATGGCACACAGTTGGAAGCTGGTGGCACTGAGTCGCTGCCAAGGCTGGCAGACCTTTAAGATGGCATCTGGTGACCTTTTCGCTGAGCCCCCCTGGGTCCTCCGTTTGAGATTTGATGTTCTCGGCAGGGGTGTAATCCAAATCAAATGTGAGATCTGGTGAGTTGGAGTTACACGGGTGGTGGGCCGATGGGAGGTCTCTGCACTGCTTTGGGCACTGGAGGCTCCCAGAAGCCCTTGCAATGTTTCTTTCTAACCCTGAGACTCTGAGCTCTCAGAGACGATGGCACAAAAGGGCTGGTTTGCGGGAAGAGCCCAGTGTGACCGAGAACAACTGAACAGCTTTCGCCTCATTTATATATCATCCAGCAATGCAGTAATCCTAATTGCCGTAGTTCCGGGATGGCACTAAACTATTCACGGTGTCCCTGAGAGCAGCAGCTGAGGTCAGAAGTCCATAGGAAGAAGCTGGTTGTGCCTTGTTTCCAAGATGGCGGGGATGGCTTTTTTTCCCCTTCCCTTTTAAATGGCAAATTTCCATTTTCGGTTCCTCAGGTAGAGAGCACACAAGCCTCGGAGAAAGAACTGTGGGTTTGTGAACAGCCTAACAACCAATGCGTGTTGACAAATTGTTTGCGCTAACAACAGGCACATGCCATTTCTCAGCTAGGGAGTCATTTTCATGATAATTTTAAAGTGCTATGTATGTTTTTTTTTAAAACAGCTTTTACTTTGAACAAATTTAACAGGTTATTTTTGGTTTTACATCTACTGTGACTGCTTTAACAGACAGGCAGATACATTTCACGTTTCTCAGGCAAGTCTGTCCTGAGACCGCCCACAAAAGAATTTTGAAGGTGAGGAAAGAAAAGATGATTTTCCCCCCTTGCCTTTATCAAGTGGAGTTAGTTCTCTACCCCAAGCCCATGGTTGCCTTCAAATCTGCACTCCCTCCTTCTCTACTCTCTGCTCCTCACAAAATGTAAACTTCATTGGATTCTCTCCTGATTCTATGTGCAATAGGCACTTAGGGGCCATCAGGCACATTTAGGTTTAAATTCTGCTTCTGTTGCGGAATCTGGTCTGGATCACTGGCGGAAGAGCCAAGTGACACTCGGAGATCTTGGAAGGGAGGAAGTTTATTTTACACTGGTGGGCTCAGAGGAGATCATTCTCCAGAGGTCTGAGCCCGGAGCATCAGCAGCAGGAATAATTTATAGCCTGTTACTTCGGCATCCCTCATTAATGCATGCGACAAGCAGGGTGGGAAGAAGAACCCAGAAGGGGGAGCCTTTGATCAGGGACAGATATTTCCTTATCAGTCTTGTCAGCCATCTTATAACAGATTTTTCCCTATCAGTTCCACTACTGAAAAGCCATGTGCACATCAACTCTCTGAGCCTTAATTCATTCACCCTAAAATGAAAATAATAATAGCACCTACCTATAGGGTTGATCTCAAGATTAGTGTTCTCAAACTAGTGTGTATGAATGGCTATAATAGGACTGTCATGTAGTTAAACACTCAGTAATATTATTTTTGCAACCATTGCAAATAATAGTTATTTGTCTTTCTTATGAACTTCAAATAGCACTGATTCTTTGTAATATTCACTTGACATTGATTTATATACTAATTAGTTAGGTTTCATATTTATGTAAATTGTACACTAATTTCTTTGAACAGGTTATAGAAAAGTGATGTATCTATTATATACACACACATAAAAATGCACATGTCATATATATAGTCTCACCAAATTTTCACAAACGGGTTAAACCCCTGTAACAACCACCTTGGTAAAAAATAAAAACAAAACAAAAATTTAAAAAAAATGAATAGTATGGATACCACAGAAGCCTCTGGTGTTCCCTTCTGGACTCTATACCTCCCTTAAAAGGTAATCACTACCTAGAAGCTATCGATCTGATTTCTAGAAGCAAGTTTTTACCATTTGTTAACTTTAATCTTTGTGTTATTTTTGGACAGCCAAATGAAATTAAATTTCTTGAGGTCAGGGATCATAGGTTCTACATCTTCTCTCACTGCAAGAATTATTTGTTAAATACACACTCATGTCCCTCACTTTCCCATCTTGTTCTATTGTAATTTGACTGCACCTGCCTGGCCAATCCCAGCCCTGAATGTGCCCATCTCTCCTTATCTGCATCTCCACAAGGACTCCTAGGCAATCCTAGAAAGAACATGCACCCTCTCAGTCTGAAGCCACACAGCTGTGGTCTCCAACCTTCCTGGCCCCTTGGTTGTACCCAGCCAACCTTTCTTCTTGTTCTGATCAGCTCTATTCCACTTTTCATAGCAGTTGCCTCAAGCCATCTCCCCTTAGTTCAGATTTCCTCCCCTAGCACTTCCCCTTGAGAGCCAACAGGTAAGCATACGTTGTATATCAAAGAGAAAAGTCAAGCTGTCACCCAATTGTCTACATCCTCACCTATCTCCCTACTATCCTACCTCGAGGTTTCATTTCTACCTCTGTTCTCTCAGTGACACCCCATCTCACTTTGTCGAGATTCATCATATTTCCTCAATGACATCCTCTCTTTCCCTCTGGCCCAGTTGGCTCTTCACCATTGGCATTTAAATGTGTTAAAGTCTCCACTGTCCTTCAACATGATCACAAGAAAGCCCCCACATGACACTCCAGGTACCAATCCATCTCTCGCCTCTTGCAGCCAGACTTCTTTGCAGAGGTCTTTAGACTTCTGGTATTTGGTTTCTTGTCCCCTTCTTTCCCCAGCCTACTTCAGCCCAGTGTCCATCTCTATTACCTCACAGAAGCTCCTTTATCAAGATTCTTGTAACATCCTTATGGCCTAAAACAATGGACACTTTCCAGAACTCACCTTTCTCAGGAGCCCCTGACACTGTTGACTCTGCCCTCCCTCTGGAAACATCTTCTACACTTTGCTTCCAAGACCCCACACTCCTGGTTTCCCTTCTGCCTTACTGAGAATTTCTTCTAAATCTCCTTTAGGGCTCTTCTGCTCTTTGTAAATGTAGGTGTTCCTCAGAGTTCTTTTTCAGACCTTCTTTCCTTCTCATGCTGCCTCAACCAAGAGGATTACTATAATACGTACATTCAAATCATTGCCTCTGCTTTGTTTGGCTTTATCATCTCAACAAGTAATGGAGTGATTGTTTTATGCTCAGATAATGTCATTTAAAATGGCTCTTTCCTGTTGTATCAATACTAACAGCTAGAATTTACCATGCCTTCTACAGCTATATAGAAATTGACTTCTCCTGATTCTAAAATCATATTGTAATATCATAAAATAAACTTATAGTAATATTCTGAATTCTGCTACCCAGAGACACTTACTGTTTATTTCTGGAGCATTTCTCTTTAGATATACTATGCACTCTCACACATAAACACATACATTATGTACACGAATTTTACATAGTTGGGAGATCATTATAGTTTTCACTTATTTGTATAACTGGACATTTTCTCATGTCATTAAGGCTATTCCTAACTATTCTCATGGCTTTATAAATTCTCTATGAACATAGAATGAAATATTTAACATATTCACCTATTACTAAATACTTAGAATTTAAAATTTTTCTTCTTTTGCATCCTTTTCCCTAATACACAATTTTAAATTGTGTTAAATATTGATTTAGTAGGTTAAAGCATTGCCCCTTCCTGACTGACCCTTCATACATTTTGTCAGGTCACTCACTGTATTAATTATATCTATTTATATGGCCACTAGCATTTGACTGTCTTATTTTCAAAGAGGTTTTCTAAATTTAAAATGATGGCTTATAATTGCTTTGATTTGTGAGTCTTTAGTTATTAAACAAGGTGGACCTTTTTATTAAGTTCGTTTATTATTTGCATTTCTTTGAATCGTTTCTATAGTTGGTTGTTCCTTTTCTTTTCTCTATTTAATATTAAATTTAAATGGGGAACTTTGAGAAGAAAAGAAGCCACTGGGTGAGGCACCTGCGGAAAGGCATAGAGCTGGCCTGGAGCCAGCAGAGGCCCTTGACTTTCTTCCTCTTCTAGTTGCAAACACTGAAAATACCCATTAGGCTTGTGGGTGAGATACATGATAAGCTGTAGGATTCACTTTTGACACTGACATGACTTACATTACATTTTCTGGGAGCAGAAAGATAGATTCTTTTTATGAATAGGAGGAAGAGGTTGAGAAGAAAATAGCACAGCCTCTGCAGCTAAACGATCCATACATACTCAGATAACCAACGCTTGCTCCTTCATTCCACCGTGCTGAGTTACCACTGTTCACAGCGCCAGAGTAACACCTTCTGTTTCGTATGCCCACCCAGTGTGTTCAGAGTCTGCCCTGTGAGTAACAAAGTGCAAAACTGTTTCTTCACAGCAAGGAAAATGAGAACTTGAAGGCAGAAACTCCAACAGGACTCCACAAATGCATGATTGCTAGTGCAAGACGGATGAGCAGAGACTCCCCAGCCCCTACTAATCCTAGTGCTCATCAAATCAATCATGACCCAGATGAGGAGGAAGAAAGCAAGCACCCAGGGAACCACCAGAGCCCGGAGAACAGCCAGAAATTCCTCACAGGAGCACTCAGAAGCAGATTTCTGGATGGCAGAGTGAGTGACAAATATCCAAGCTTTCTTTTTTTTTTTTTTTTTTGGTAATTGACTAGGAAAATTCAAATTAGGCTGGAAACAGATTCATACCACACACCCTTATACTAATGGTAATTAATATGTTTTGCATAAGACAGACTTAGGATTCATTTTTTAAATCGGAAAATACATTTGAGATCATTCTGTATATTGCACTCTGGATGACGACCCAGTGGGTAGGCCAACCTACTCTACTTGCAGCTAAATCGGTGACAACCATACAGTGACACTTGCAAACGTACATGCAACTCTGGGATGTGCTTGAGGAGAAAGGTCTGTTTAACATTGCAAGGAGAGGTCATTTATTTTCAAAATCCAATGCAACCATAATTATATATTAAAATATTATCAGCCCAGGCCATCTTAATAGAAATATATATCACTGCACTCTGTTAAGAATGAACCAAACAATTCACAACAAGCTAACTTGATAATGATGAATCCATATGATTAGTAATTTGTAATTAAAAAGCAAGAATAGCAGCAATTGAATACTGGGTCCAAATCAAGACAAAACTAATGATTCATTGATAACAAAGTACCACTTCCAAAAATTGCTGAAATTGCAATTAGACAGATTCATAGAGTAGGAGTTTTGCCGTGCTGCCAAGCATTAAGTGACAGCCAAATATTTTAGTAGAATACTGAATTAGAGTCTGCAGTAAACTCTAACATAACTATTTTTAGTTTATAATTTTAATAGCCCTCACTAAATCACTCAGACACTAGCTAGTCTTTAGTCACCTGAGAAAATAAAAGCCTATAGATGTGTGATCTTTTCCTCATAAAAACCCTACAAACTTGTAATTTCAAGTGGTAATGGCCCACCAGTGAACCTCAGGCCACACACTGCAAGGTCTAGTTGAACACGGGTCCAGAAATAAAAGTGACTTGCCCAGAATGTCAGTGGCACAGCCTACACTGGAAATTGTGCCTCCTAATCCCCAGTTGGTGTGTTCTTTTGGCTGTCTTATAAGTAGTCCTTGGTTGGTTGGAGCAAGATATAGTGCGTCCACAGAGGTAAAATTGTGAACTTCCAAAGACCTCTGAATTTTTAGGTAATTTTAACTCTGGCATTAATGTATTTATTGCTACTCCCCAAGGATAACCTTGGTAATAATATCATGTTACAAAACACCTTTTTTTATTGACTGATTGCTTTCAGATAAATTATATCATTTGCTGTTTGGAATTAACCCCTTGAGGTAGGTACCACTGTTTTCTCTATCACTATGGTATAGATGATAAAACTAAGGCTCAGAAGAGCACCTGGGTGGTTCAGTGGGTTAAGCATCTGACTCTTGATCTAAGTTCAGGCCTTGATCTCAGAGTCATGAGTTCAAGCCTTGTGTTGGGCTCTATACTGGGCATGAAGCTTACTTTAAAAAGGGAAGAACAAAACTGAGGCTCAGAAAAGTTGAAGTGGCTCATAAGTATAGAGAGAAGATGTTTACCCAGGTTTTCTTCTCTCTCTTTTTTTCCAAGTCATCTTTCTAATTATAAAGTACTGCATACTGATGTACAATTTTGGCAGATGGAGAATATAAGAAGAAAACTCAACAAAGAAAGATAATAACATATTTCTTTCTTTTCTTTTTTCTATGCATAGATGTAGAATGAGAATCATTAGGTATGTACTCCTTGTTATCCTGCTCAGTTCATTTCATATTACAAATTTTCACCCCAGCTTCAAAAAATTCATTCAAAGCATCATCTTGAATGGCTCTATGAGAATCATACTCAGAATAAACACTTAAATACTATTTATAATGTGCTGGGCACATTCTAAGTTCCTTACATGTATTCACTAACTTATTACTCCCAAGCACCCAGTGAGGTAGGAATTCTTATTATCTTCAGTTCAAACATGAAGGAACTGAGAAACAAGGAGGTCAAGGGCCTTGCCCAGGTCATAAGGCTGAGAAGTGACAGAGTAGCAGTTGAAGCCCAAGTCCTAGGTTCCCAGTCACCACCAACTGTCTTCATTCCTTCGCATGGATATAACATGGCTCATTTAACTAATCCCTTACTGATGGGCATTAAAGTTATTTCTAGTTTTTCTCTTATGAATGGAAATGTGTTTCTTGACACTCCCTCTACCACATCAAGCAGCCCATTCCTGAAATAGGTTCTGCATTAGCCATTATCATGGCCAGAATGTTCATTGGGTAAGCTGTTCTTGGACCTGCAAGATATGGATACTTTGCTAGCTCTGTAGTGCCAGAGGGACATGGTTCGCTCCTCCCTTCCCAGAACTCAATGAGGTTTCCTGTGGGAAACTCAGAAGGGCTAACGCCCAGCCACCAAATACAGCAAGGCCTCCTGGGAGGTGTGTTCTGACTAATTGGTCTGTCTGCCGGGTATATGGTGCTGGCCTGCCAGATGGCAGCCACAGTTGCCTGGTACAGAGGCACTCATTACCACCTTGACTAAGTGGTAAATGGAATTCTGTGGCAGTGAGTGAAGCAAACCAATCAGAGCTCCTTCTAGATCCTTATCTCTCACACATAGATGAAAATATGCTTTCCTGCCTGGGATGTAACAGGCAATCTGGACTGTCTGAATTTGCTCCAAAAGAAAAGTTGCTGATAAAGACTGAGCTAACGTGGGTGAGGACGGGCAAGTGTGAAACTCTTTTCTAAATTACAGATCAAGTTTGAAGACTATCATTAGTTAGTGGGAGGTAAGTAAAGCTGAAAATGCTATGAGAACTCATCTTTTCATACATCTGAGAACAGTAAGAGGTCTTATAAATCAGCAAGTACAAATCTCCACTTCAGAAATGAAGAATGAGGGGCCCCGAGAGCTCTCGTGATTAGCTTGAGGCTTCACAAGTCAAAAGCCTGGCTCTTCTTCTCAACAGTAGCCCTAGAATCTTTCTCTCCCAATCCTGTTCTTTATGTGTCTTTGAAAATACAAATATTGTTTGTATTATTTCTCAGAAGCATCAGCTCTGCCTTCTCTCAGAAAATAAAAAAGAATGTGTGACTAGCTACAAACTCAGTAGCACGGTTTCAAAAATAAAATGAGAGCGTGTTTTTTGCATCTGGCAGCATGAAAATGAAAGTGTTAGTGCTTTAATTTTAATAATTATCATAGCCGATTGGAAATGTGTTCTTTTCAAAGTGCTTTTGTGTGTTTTATCTTATTTGTTCTCCACGGCAGCCCTGTGAGGTAGGTAGAGGCACATGATGTTATCCTCATTTTGTACATGAATAGACAGACGTCAAGGACATTTCCACTTGGCCGTGCATTGGTAGATTCATCATGTTCAAAACGGGACCTTTGAACCTGCTCTTTCTCTGTGGTCTGTCTCACACAGTAGACCCACATCTTTGCCAGTTACACCAGCAAGAAACCTGGCCATGCTTTCCTCCTCTCTCTCCCTGAATCTAGCATCACTGAGCCCTTTAAATTCTACCCTTTATGTCTCTCAAAAATACCTTCTTATTTCTGCTTCCTCTGCCATCACCCTTGTCAGACCACCATTGTACCTCAGCAAGATGACTTTAATTATCTTCAAACTGGCTGTCCTTTTCTATGCTTCTCTCTCTGTCTTGGTCAGCTACTGTAATAATACTGCTGTGTGACAAATCACCCCAATACTCAGTGGTTTATGACAATAATCATTTATGCTCACATCTGTAGATGTGAGCTAAGATAGGTTTTGCTTTTTTTTATTTGGACTTTTCTAGGCTTGGCTGCAAATGATAGATTTGTTCAGGTATGCTCTGGGTTTTTCTTACTGTTCTGAACCCAGTAGGTTCTTCAAGGCAAGTTCTGCTTATAGTAATGGAACATTTCAAGAAGACAGGCTCAGACACAAGTACGTATTAAGTCTTTGCTTGTGTCATATCTGATGTGGGAAACAAAGGCAGAAGAAAAAATTAAACTTCCTTGCTATGTACAGCCCATTGACAAGTCCATGAGACAGGTAGAGTGACCTTCCTCTGGGAACTCAGCTGCCTCAATGCTGACACTTCGCTGAGGGCAAAAGGTGATTTTAGCTTAACATTTTCCTGACCTCCAGGATCCTGTAAGTTTCCTTTAACTTCCTCAAAGTTGACACTTTGCTGAGGGCAAAAAGTGATCTTAACATTATCCTGACTTCCAGGATCCTGTAAATTTCCTTTAACATACAAAAATTCCTTTGGAAACTCCCTTTATCTCTACCCCCCAAATATATGTTTGCAATCATCCTCCAAGCACATGGCTCACTGATATACATCTGAAGGGTTTTATTTGATGTGCAAATGTTGGGGTTCTGAAGCCAACCCGAGAAAAAATTCTTAGGATGTCTTCCGTGCAAAAAGGTCATTTTATTAAAACACAGAGACAGGACCATGGGCAGAAAGAGCTGCCCTGGGATTGTGAGGAATAGTTGATTGTATACTTGGGAGCTGAGGGAGGTAAAGACAGGGAAGTTTCCAGGAGTATTTTAATATGCTAAAGAAGACTTCATGGGGGTACTGGAGGCCTAACTATTGTCAAGCTAAGGCTATTTTTTCCCTCTAGCAAAGTACTACTATTAAAACAGTTGGGAGTTAGTAGAGGAATGTTCTACTCTGCCAGCCTCAAGTATTTGTCAATGGGCTATAGATTCTAAGGAAATGGAATTTTATCTACATTTCCTTTTTGCCTTTATTCCCCACATCATTATGATTAAGGTTTTATTAGACAGTAATAAATGATCCTCTCCTAATAATAGCTAGCCCTCTTGAGGTCCTAGAAACCTTCCAAAATTCCTTAGAGACTTATGCTATCCCTAACCCTCTCCCAACTTGAAAGTATATAATCAGTCACCCATTAAAACCCCAGTGCAGCTCTTCTGCCCATGACTCTTGTCCCTGTGCTTTAATAAAACCACCTTTTTGCACCAAAGATGTCTCAAGAATTTTTTCTTGACTTTTGGCTCTGAACCCCAACATTTCCACGTCAGTATCTATGAACATCTGCCCCAT